AATGTCTTCCATGAATGGGTATGCAACCAGGTGCATGTCATGTGCAATGTATGCGTTCCTTGAACATGCGTTTGAGGGGGAATACAATTGTGCTAGATGTGAGCGAGTTGTGTGTTTGGAATCCCAGATTCTGGATCTAAGCAACAAACTGGCAACACTGAGGAGCATAAACAACATGGAAAAGAGTCTGGACTTAACGCACCAGGCTGTCACCTGTGTGGACGGAGGCTGTGTAAGAAGGATACGTGACTGGCATCAGGAACAGGTCGTATGAAAGTGATTGGGGTGAGGGGGTTGTAGTTGTTTCAAGGTTCTGTATTGTGGGGGTAGAAGTGTATTGGTGGAGGGTGAGAGTTGTTGTTTAGGGGGGAGAGAGTGTTACTTTAACAAAACAACAAAAAAAGGGATTGTGTATTCTTTTACATTTAAATTTATCTGAGCTATTTACTTGCATCACATATCAATCTGATAGGGTTTATATGAAACTATTAGTGTATGAGTTAAAGTTAAAAGAAAAAAACTAATATAAAACAAATACTATGTAACTATGTAAAGAGCGTGTGTTTACATTTCAGGGTCACTGACAATAAAACGGCCTTCATCTTTGTCTACCCCTAACACTGAATAGGCAAGGTTTCTACGAAGCAGTATTAAGACACCAGCTTTGCGGCCCTGGGAAGGCGAGCAGAATACTTCCCCCACCCATAGGCGTTTCATAGGGAATACATCCTCGTCCCTGAGATGCGTTTCCTGCAGTAAGGCCACATCAGCCCGCAGGCGTTGCAGGTGGCGCAATACCTTGGTCCGCTTCTGGGGGGAGCGGAGACCTTTAACATTCCACAAAATTATTTTCATGAATGTACACGAGAGGGGTCAAGATTAGTAATGGAAAGGTCTAGTAAGTGTGTATAGTGCGTCTCGAGGACGGTAATAAGAGGGTCCCCCCAGAAGCTCGACCAAGCAACCGCAGTGAGGCAAGACATAGGATAGGCAGTTGGCCACCTGAAGTGGCACAGCGAGACATATACCAGCAGTAGGTGAGACAGTATTCTGATCATAAGAACCGTGTAAAAACATATTCTGATCATATTGCAAACGAATCGTGTAAAAACATATATAGTGCATGAAAACCAAACAACATGTACAGTAAAAGAGAAATAAAACATATACAATACTGACTTAGCAATTTCCCTATGTACGCATAATGGGATGTGCGCTATAGAACCCATTACATGGCATCATGGACAAAGAAAGGTGTCGCTGCCCATCCCTACGCTGTAAAGAGACTGGGAAAAAATAAAGACAGTTAGTAAAACTCAGCAGAAGGTCCACACACTTTACTATCAACGCTTACGGTACTTGCGGGGGGTACCCATCACCCGCTTTGGTAACTTGGTAGATTTGCGCGGTGAGCGTGGAGGCAAGGGAGAGTTGGAGGGAGACCTAGTACTTGTGGTATCCATCTGATTCAGAAATAGCAATGCTTCTTGTGGACCCCGAAATGAATAGCTGCGACCTTCAGCCGTGGTAAGATACAGGACAGCCGGATAAGCCAGTGTGAACTTGATCCGCTGGCGATACAAGTTAGAGCATACCTCACTAAAAGCTTTCCTCTGTTTCGCCACTTCCGCCGAGTAGTCCGCGAATAGCAGTACTTTATTCCCATCAACTGTAAGAGATCCAGCAGCTCTATATTTTTGTAGGATTTGGAGCTTGTCGGCATAGTTGAGATAACGCACGATAACCGGTCTAGGTGCCTTAACGTTTTTTTTTGGCCGGGATAGTGGATGAGCACAGCGTGAGCAATTCGTTCGGCTTATATGATTCAGGGAGACCCACTAACCTCAGGTTATTGCGGCGAGAACGATTTTCAAGGTCATCTATTTTTTCCTGCATCGCCCGTGAGGTAGTGTCACACGTGAGTAACTTTGATTGAGCCTCTAGCAAGTCATCCTCCAGTGAGGAGATGCAGTGTTCCGCCTCTTTGGGTGCACGTGTCTGTGCTGATGGGTCTTTCCTGATTTGGCTCATACCTTGCTGAATGGCTGTCTCTACCGCTTCAGTGATGGTAGGCTTCAGCAGTTTGGCCACCGCAGCTGCTATCCGAGCATTGGCACTGTCATCATCCAGGCCCCTCACATCAGAGGCCTGAGACATGCTTCTTTGCGGGGAGGTAGCCGAGACCGCCGCCATCTTAGAGGCACGTGACTCCCGAGAGAGCGCCCGAGAACAATGAATCTAAATTAATCTATCATCTAAACTGTATTTTCTGTGTTGTTTTTTTTAAATACTTTTTTTGTGCACTGATCGACGTGTTATTTTTTTTTTGAATGAGATCCGTGCTTCACACGTTGCTGAAAGTGGCAATTGACATGCATGTGATCACTGGATGTCGCAGTTGACGCAGATTTCATCGCTGGATGTCGCAATTGATGTGGATTTCATCACTGGGTGTTGCGATTGGCGCAGATTTTCTCGCTGCACGCCATTCATTTGAATGCCACCCCAAATGCATCTCCTGCCCACAATGCACTCTACCGCGCAGCAATGAGTAACCCAACACTATGCGTGGTGGAGTGCTTCTGAAAGAAATAGTGCATGCACTGCTTTTTTTAAATGCAACACACCACACGATATTGCGGCACGGTCGAGTGCATTGCGGACAGGAGGTGCAACACACTTATATGCACTTTGCACTTCACTCTGTTATAACATAAATAGGTGATAAATCCAATTCAAACATCACAATACATTTTTTTAAATGAGTAAAAACAAATATAACCTCCACACCCCTAATTAATGTAGCAATCCTTTAGATCTTGAAGCAGTGTCGCCCTCTAAATAATTAATCTCTCTATTCAATAAATAAAAGTGACATGCATAAAAAGGCACAATAATATACAGGTCAAATAATATAAACACTTCTATATGTGCTCAAAAATAATCCAAACCAGTGTCCAAATTGGAAATAAATATATTAAAATGTCCAAACATAAAACGCTGATGAACTTGTAAATAGTCCACAACCCTGATTATAAAATGTGCCAAAACTATGTAACAAATCACTGATAAACGATAAATCTACTTGTGCAATAACTTTGTAATTGTATCTTCACCCGTGAAACACAGATGAGATGCTCTTACCTTCTATTAAGTCATCTCACAGAGAAGGTCTCAAGCACTTTTCCCCGTTTAGCCTCCAGGAGGGGTTATCTTGTCTTTGGGGATCTCGACTCACGATCATCAAAAGCAGCCAAACTGAACAAAAAAAAACGATCATTGGGCAGACCATCAACACTTTTTAAAACTTTTATTCATAAAATGATACTCCCATGCAAACTGTGTAAATAGACAGGATAAAATAAAGCGGCTTCCACACTCCCAGGCACATCCACAGAACTGCCTGACATCAACTAACCCTGCCCAACATACATTTAAAGAACTATGGGGTCAGTGTTTTTCCCCATAGTTCTCCTTAGGGTAACGGGAGGACACAAACTAGCGTCCTCCCGTTACCCTAAGCTCAGTATACCGCGAGCTACAGCTCGCGGTGTACGGAGACGCCGCACCTGGAGCGGATCCCGACGTAGATGACGGGATCCGCCCAGCTGCGTGAGTGACAGCTGGCTCTGCCTATCTAGAGGCAGAGCCAGCTGTACCCGCCCCCTCCCCCGTCCGTTCCGCCAGTCAGCGCTGGCAGATCGGTGAGGGGAATCCAGCCCCTCCCCCTGTCACGGTAGAGAGCCGTGACAGGATCGAGAGGTGAGGGAACCCGGTATGTGTTCCCTCACCTCCCGATCTACTGAGCCAACCTGTGACAGTCTCATTGTCACAGGTCGGCTTAGAACTATGAGGTGAGTGGAAATCACTCATCTCATAGTTCTCCTTTTAATCTCTGATGACTTTGGGGAGGGCAATCTTATTTGCAATAATAAAGTGCAAAGTCCTTAGTGCATACTTTCTATGCGTTCGTATTTATCAATAGAAAATCAAGTCCACAGCCGATGTTAAAGTGCTCTACAAAGCAGTCCACTCCAATCACCCAGGTGCCAGACAAACACTCTCCGCACTAACCAGAGTCAAATACCCATCAGATTGTAGATGTTCATGAACGGTACCCGGAAGAAGTCTGAGGATTAAACACATTGGATGGGCGGTAAATGCTGGCGTCATCATGCTGTAACGAGGGAGAGAGAAGCACGAACTAGAGGAAAACTGTGTTATTGAGAGCAATTTATTTTACAGTTTGTTTTTCATGGTATTTTAATAGAGAAGTTTTAAAATGTACTACACTATGGAGGATTTTACTGTGTTCCCTTTGAGTACTGATGCATTTAGCAAGTAATTGTATGAACAGAGGAGGAGACCTCGGAATACAAGGGGTGAGGAGATTGTTGGAAAGAGGGAGTGAGCGTTAGGCATGATGGGGAAGGAAGAGTGAGAGTCATCCAAGAGAGACGGAGTCGGCTGTGGTCATTGATTCAACTGAATAGCTCATGACCATCTATAAGCTGATGGCTATTTGGCTGTGGTGAGTGCGGAAAGTGTTTGCCCATCACCTGGGTGATTTAAGTGGACTGCTTTGTAGAGCACTATAACATCAATTGTGGACTTTATTTTTTATTGATAAATATGAAAACGGCATAAGGCACGGCGGCCATATCGACCACATGACGCTGGAGGAAGGGTGGGGGATGCAGGGGTAAAAAAGTTGGAGAAAGCATAGGGTAGTGGTGTAATGCAGCAGGAGTGTCAGGTTGGAAGGCCAAGAATGGGATAGCAAAAGGAATGTAGAGGACAAGGGAAGAGGAAAGGGGGATTGAAATCATTCAAGGTGTTAAAACAGTAGAATTGGCTAAATTTAAAATACACTTTCACTGAGTCTTCTGTCTTGTGGTAGTATTAGTGCTGCAAAAAATGCTTTGGTAATAGTTACATATAAAAGGCAAAAGAAACGAAATAAAACATTAACAGAAACATTCATGCATTTGTCTTTACAGTTCAAGCGTCATGCTGGGGAGAGTGAAGAAGACACAGACTTGTGGATTGGTTACTGTTCATTTCATCTGGGTGACTACAAAAAGTCTTTGGAGGTAGTGCCAACTAAAGCTTTATTGTTCTGATGTATATGGTCATAACTAGCCTTGCAAAACAAAGTTTAGATTAGCTTAGTCTCACTGTATTTTCTTAAAGGTATAATGGTTTTAAGTCAGTTTGAATAAAAGGAATAAAATGTTTACACGTTTATAAAGGGAGCTTGTACTATATTTTTAGCAGGGCTGTGGAAATTAAAGATTAATTTCTCGATTAATAGTTAAACTTTTTGATCGATTAAAATTATTTTGATCACTAATGAAAACACTCGCCTCTCCGCCGGCTTCCGGGAGTCCCGTCGGCGATCCGGTGACGTCACAGACATCGAGATTAATAACGTGCTGGATTAGTGTGATCCTAGTTCATTTTATTACTTCATTGCTGTGCTGTATGTGTATAGGCCAATGTAGTTGGATCTGTATGTGCGTTATAATTAATCTAAATTTTTAAAAAAATTCGATTAATCGAACACGAACATTTTAATCATTACCAGCCCTAATTTTTAGATTACTTGCATAAAATCCTAATTTTGTAAATTAAAGAGAGGGGACTTTATCACACCTGGAGCAGACAGAATCTGGAGCAGTTGCCCATAGGAACCAATCAACTTCTCTTTTTTTTAGTTTTGTTTAGTTAAGCTTTAAAGATGAAAGATAGAATAAAGTACCCAGACAAAGTATTAAAGCTAGCTACCCAAATGGAGAAAATGGTGATGAAAATGACTTCAGTACAGCAATATCCAATACAAAAAGTAGAACAGATCTTAAAAGAAACATTGGGATATTTTGAAAATGGATTAACATCTTGAAGGCATATTGCCGAACAAACCAAAAATAGTATATAGAAAAGCCAAAAAATCATTTAAGGGAAAAGATGGCAAAAAGGTCTTGTAAATCCCCCCAGACCCCGAGATGGAGTCAAAATTACCTTCCTTGTTTAAAGGGGGGGGGGGGAGGGGTTCGCATATAAGCGCTTTTATGCTGCAAGAAAGTAACATACAATTTTAAAGTATGAAAGGATTTTATTATAACTACTCCGAATACAAAAATGAAAATCACGGATTTAATTTCTTGTGATACTCTAGGGTAATATATGCGCTCCAATGTCCTTGCGCTTTGCAATACTTTGGATGAACAACAAGGAAGTTAAGTACCAGGATTAGGGAACATACAGTATACACTATATTGCCAAAAGTATTGGGACACCCCTCCAAAGCATAGGATTCAGGTGTTCCAATCACCTCCATGGCCACAGGTGTATAAAATCAAGCACCTAGGCATGCAGACTACTTCTACAAACATTTGTGAAAGAATGGGTCGCTTTCGAGCTCAGTGAATTCAAGCGTGGTACCGCGATAGGTTGCCACCTGTGCAATAAGTCCATCCGTGAAATGTCCTTGCTACTAAATATTCCACGGTCTACTGTTCGTCGTATTATAACAAAGTGGAAGCAACAGCAACTCAGCCATTAAGTGGTAGGCCATGTAAAATGACAGAGCGGGGTCAGCGCATGCAGAAGTGCACAGTGCACAGAAGTCGCCAACTGTCTGCAGAGTCAATAGCTACAGACCTACAAACTTATTACCTTTGGCAATACAGTGTATATATGACATTAAACAGGGGTATAAGGACCAGTCAGTTTTAAAACTCTTTTTAGAACGTCATACAAAAAAAATACCAAATACTTACAGTTCTGGGGGATACAATCTTTATCCAAATATTGGAGGGTGTGGAAATTGGAAGAGAGAACTGGCTAAATGAGATACCTATTGGATATACTTTGCAGATAACCCAGAGGTTAAACGTGCAATTTGACCTCAGTTGTTTAATTAGTAACTCCTGATATCAGGGGTGTGGAATTCCTATCGCCCGACGCCCGGGGACATCCAGTTTCGGGCGCCGGGTGAGTAGTTTTTCTGTACATTTAGCCCTGCTTCGAACAAGCAGAGCTAAATGTACAATGGGGACCGCTGCTCATTTTTATACAAGTGATCTGATCCCCGCTGTGGTTTTCAGGGCCCCCCGCTCTTGGGAGGACCAAAGATGGGAATAAAATTTAAGTGTAAAAAATAAATACAAGTTAAAAAAATGGAAAAAGTAAAAAATCAAATATATAAACGCAGTAAAGTAAAAAATTAAAACCAACCTTGCTGCCCCCGCCATCTGCATGCAAACAAACGCACGTGTAGGACATTGTGCGTTGAGTGCTGCCGCCATTCCATTGTGGTAGCCAGGCAGAAGAACTCTCTTACACACAATGTGCATTAAAGGGTAAGTTCACTTTCCCAGGTAATATGGGAAAATGGAATTACCAGATAAAATCTGGCCCCGTCTCTCCCATCCCCCCCTCCCCCCTATACTTACCCTTTGGTCCCTCCCCTCCGCCAGTACGTATGGGTATATTATCTTTACCCCGTACTGCTGTCCAGCGCAGTCCTGCCCAAATTGCAAGTCAGGTGACCACGCTGACCAGTGAGAAGCGCTATTTAGCACAGTCCAATACGTTTTGATTAGGGATCCACTGGTATCAGTGCCGATACCTAGTATTTGGGCGAGTATTTGGGCGAGTTTGCTCTGATACCTTCCCCAATACTGGAACTTACGGTCAGAGGAAAATTTCCTCTGACTGGCAGTGCTGTAGGGGAATGGAGCCAGCTTCCCGTGCGGCAAGTAATGACCCGCCTCCTGGTTTCCTGATTGGCTGGAAAGCTGGTTTCCAAGCCAATCACAATTAAGCAGGCCAAACTACATTTTCTTCGCTGTTTCTTCAAGCAAGTGTCGCCAGGGCGACATGCTGGATGATTATAGATCCTTGGAGTCTCCCCTGTGCGACCAACGAGCGCATGCAGTCCCGCTACGGTGGTTCGGCTGCAACGGTGATATCTCGGCGCCTGTGAGCTTTTTGGCCCGGTGGGGTGCATATGACTGGAGGTCTTGGTCTGACAGTCACAGTGGCCCACATAGACTGGCGGCGCCGCGACCACAGTCGGGGGCGTTTTCCCACCATTTCCTGCATGTCCTGAGGAGAGGCTTCCCCTTTGTGCTGCTAGAATCGGCCAGTGATACTGGGGAGTTCGCTTGGTATGGTATGTATGGACCTGTGCTGGGGACGTGCGGGTGAGTTGTGGCCTCCGGAGGGTTCGCAGCCGCCATTTTCATTGAGGGCAGGCGCCCTATGCGGCCGCTGTCATTTCCTGTGGGCAGCTCTGTCACCAGCCTAGTTCGGACGGGCGGAAGGGGCGTTCCTTTCCTCAGCGTGGCTGTCTGCAGACCAGACGTGTGCAGCTCGTCTCCGAATCGCTCTGCTGTGGTGTTTCAGACTCGGGGGTCGTGAGTACTGCTGGGGTCCCTCTCTGCCTGTGACAGTCTCCTGTTCCTGAGGCAGTGGGGAGGTGTGAGCGCGGTATCATGGAACGCACCGCCCACGTTACCTTGCGAGGGCTGTGGGCTGCTTTCTGCTGATTCCTCTCATTCCCCCTTTTTGTGCGGCCTGTACTCCGGCGCCTCTCTCCCAGGCGCTCTTGCCCCCCTTGGTGGGTTTGGGCAGTACCGCAGGTACTGCGTTGTCCCTTGAAGTTTTTTCTTCTGCCATGGATGGCTTTGTGACGCGCATTGAACGCGAGCTGACGCAGAAGCCCCCTAAGAAACGTACTCTGCCGTTGCCTTCCCCTGCCCTGTCAGGGGAGTCCGAGGAGGAAGGGGAGCTTTCCACGGTGTCCCCTCGCCCTGATCCTGGGGATTCTTCCCAACCGGAGTCGGCAGTGAGGACGAGTCGGCGGCTTCGCTCCTGGGTCAGGAGCGTGAATTGGTCCCGGCGCTGATGCGTGCAGTTAGGGAGACCCTCAAACTTAAGGATCGGTGTGGTATCTGGAATGTGCATCTGCACATGGGAGGCGGTGCTGAGGTGCTGTGACCTATGAACCGGAAGTCCTGCAGTAAGAACTCGCGCGCACTCGCGCGGCGTGCAGGGAGCCGGTGCGGTGCGGGACCGGAGATCCAGGACCCGAGGGAGAGTACAGGATCCGTGAGGGAGAGCGGTGGCCAATCCGGAGAGGGGCGGACCATACGTTGGGACCGGAGGACGGGACCTGAAGGTGGGAGACCGGAGGCTCAAGTGGATGGACGGACAAGGAGACGGAAAGGTGTGCGTGACCAGAGGTCGGAGGAGCCGAGCGGGAGACCGGAGGCCGGAGTGTGCGGTGCAGACGAACAAAGTGAAGGACGGGTGTTCCAGCTGCAAGAGGGGAGAAGAGTGGATGAGGACGAGGGACGGATGGACGACTGTAAAGTAAAGTAAAAGTAAAGGGGGAAGCAGAAGTGAGAGAGTGCAAGCTGTGATTGAAGAAGAAAAGGATCGTGTGGAAAGACCGAGACGTGGCTGGAATCAGGAACAGGTCGTATGAAAGAGATTGGTGGCTGTATGGGGTCTTTGAAATTGTCTTTGAAATTCTGTGGGGCATGAGATTATATACATAAAGTATTACAGGTTTATTACATTGCTGAGAGGGCTGCGGAGGTACGTATAGGGTTAAAGTTTAAAGGTAACTGGGTGTGTGTGTATGTGTATCTATCTATCTATCTATCTATCTATCTAGATAGATAGATAGATATATATATTTACATATATATTGTTTAAGGAATACTAGGGTATACCGTGTAGTTATCGTGTTTAAGCGTACATTTAGCAAGGCATTAACAACACTAAACGAATAGCTGAGTATATAAGCTAGGCATTAAATAATAAATTTTTTTTATAACAACATAAAATATAGAATTTTGGGCATAGCACTAAGGTATAGTAACCAAAGGGGCATAGTAGAAATAAAGACATAGGGATTTAGCATACCTTAACTTAGGCCAAGGGCTTCTAATATAAATTCAATTTAACTTTACCACAGGACAGTAGCATAAGAAACCAAAGGGCCATAGCATAATAAAGCAGAATTAAATCACACAGCCAGTGTGAATATAAATTAAAGCAAATTAAATTAACTGCAGGT